CTAAGATGGCTCTAAACCAACAGGGCGGGTACTCCTCGGACACACTAGAACTAGGGAAAGGCATGAAATTGAGCAACTTGGGGTCTCCTAGTTCATTCACTGCAGAATCCTTGAACAAAGGGCGCTATGACAAAGGCAAGGATGTCTTGGTTGACTTCCAAGGAGCAAGTGGTTTTTGGCCACAGAATCAGTGGGTTGCTTTCCCTGAAGAATCCTCTAGATTTATGAGGATTAGTGAATGGGTGAAAGAACTTCCTGTTCATCCACCATGCTTAATTGATGAACATGATCTTGTTGAAGATGACGTCGATCTCCCACCTTCTCCTGATGCTGGTAAATCACCAGCAAGAAACTCGTCTCTAATCAGCCCACATCCAAATACAAATGTATCAGAAGAGGTTGCACATGCTAATGCAGTCATCCGGTCTCTCAACCTGTCCTCAACGGTTGCTCACATTGCCGGCGCTGGTCTGAAAGTTATCCCTGCTATGTCGCACTTAACTAGCCTTCGATCTGTCAATTTATCATGCAACTTCATAGGTATGTAATCAAAGGATAATTCGTACTAAACTAACTTAAGGCTAAAGAAAATGGTCATAGAAAGACCCTCTAACATAATATAATGTTTCCTGTGGCAATGCAGTTCAAATAACTCCAGGATCACTACCAAGAGGTCTTCACGTTCTCAATTTATCAAAAAACAAGATCCACACAATCGAAGGACTGAGGGAATTAACACGTCTGCGCATGCTTGACCTAAGTTACAACAAAATCTCTCGAATTGGACAAGGTATGTCGCTTCCTTAGACCTTCCACCGAGGATAAACTGTCTTGTTTGGGGAAACTGACAATATCTCCCAGTTTTACATCCATAAAAGACCACCTGAAAAATGTGACTTTGGCTCCAAATTGCATCAGGTTTGTCGAATTGTACGCTCATCAAAGAACTCTACTTGGCTGGTAACAAAATAAGCGATATAGAAGGGCTGCACAGACTTCTGAAGCTGACTGTTCTAGACTTGAGCTTCAACAAAATAACAACAACTAAAGCACTTGGTCAGCTTGTGGCAAACTATAACTCTCTGCTGGCTCTAAATCTATTGGGCAATCCAATCCAGAGCAATATAAGTGACGATCAACTGCGGAAGGCAGTTTGCAGTCTGCTTCCAAAGCTAGCTTTCTTGAACAAACAGCCTATTAATGCACAGAAAGCCCGAGAGGTAGGAACAGAAGCAGTTGCAAAAGCAGCATTGGGCAGTAGCAGTCGGGGCACTCATAGAAGAGCAACCAGGAAAGTTGTAACTGGAGCTTCTTCATCTGCTAGCGTGCATAGGAGCAGCGCCAGTGTTGCTCAAAAGAGTAGGCATAGGCTAAGAAGCCGAACTCAACACCAGTCTTCCAAAACCAAGTGATCTGCTCTAGGCATCATCGTCTTCCTAAATTGTTTCATACTCGTGGACAGTGCAATCCGAAAAACCATGGTTCTTCTTGGACAATGCAATTCCAGAAAGCTAGGTGTTCAGTGTGTTTCAATTTTGTTTATCTATTTTTATTTTGTTCTTCAAAAGAGAGGAGTGATTAAGATATTCGTTTTAAATTGTGAAGGTTCTTCCTCAATCTCCATTGTGTTATGGAAGTCTGTTTGAAATTCAGCTACTTGTGGCTTCAGATGCTTGTCTTTCTATGATTGTTTGAATTAGCATGTTTTTCCACATTGATTGCACCTTTATAAATGTGCTTCGCTTCTTGTTCTGTTTGCTAATGAGTTGTGTTAATCTTTTCGGTCTTCATGAAGTACAACTTTGGATCAGTGTTTTAAAAGGCGCGGGCGTAAGGCGAAGCGTTTTACATGTGTCTCAGCGGGGCGTAAGCCCCATAGGTATTTAATTTTTAGTATTTTATAAAATAATATAATGAAAGTAAATATTTATAAACAGGTAAAATTGCATAAAAATTGAAGAAAACTATATATATGTGTGCTCCATCCCCACAAAAAACTAATCAAAACAATCTATTATACGTTACTTACAAGCACAAGTAACGTATATGAAGAAGAATGTAGTTCTCTTTGTATTTGTAAAAAAAAAAAATATTCGTTGCTTTTGGGAGATATTAGCAGACTTGCGGACAAGATAAAAAATTGGGAAAATCATGAATTAGGGCTTAAATCAATAAAAAAGGTCTTTACTTTTAAATTTAATACTTTTGAGTTCCTTTTTAAACCTTTTGAGTAATTATCAAACTTTTGAGAATTTGGGTATTATATGAAGGACTAATTCAACAAATTTTGTTTTAATTTGAAAAAGTCTCTGGGCGTATGCCCCAAATTGCGGGGCGTACGCCTCTTAGGACTTTCGCCCCACACCATCGCTCCGGGGCTCGCCCCAGAAAAGCCTTTTAAAACAGTGCTTTGGATAACTAACCTAATTTATTGGAGTTTCACTTGGTAGGGGCAAGACCGGCGTACACAAGAAATATATTATTTTTTTTTTTTTTTGTTGCTGGTGCTCTTTAGGGGTCGATTGTTTGTGGTTGGATAGAACATAAAGAAAGGGAATTCAAATGTTTAAGTTAAACATTTTGACTAATTCATACCGATTTTATGTTAATCATCCGCTACGAGAATCAATAGTTTGATTAATTTGTATATGCATCGCGTAAGGTTCATTAACAGGAAGCACTTTTTATCAAAAAAGAATTTCCTAAAGTTCAAAATTTATATCTCTGGTTAAGCATAGATGGATCTATCAAGGAGAGAAGAATCATTGACTTAAAGAGTATGAGACAATCCAAAAATGCATTGTGCTTTCGGTGAAAGGAAAAAATTGAACAGATTCTTTTTAGCCACACAAGCATGATTCTTGTTGTCTTAACGACTTTTCTGTGGACTTGATGTTCCAGCTTCCAACTATAACCACTGACACGTATTAGCTTTGGAGAGTTGAATAATATTCTGAGAGCAAAGACAACCCACGATTGAATAGGGCCAAGAGCATCACGAAACTGATTAATCATAGATATATCTTCCACACCTTTTTTTTTTAATTATTTAATGATGGAATCCGGGCTAGTTTGTGTGTAGGAATATTTTATCGGGTACATACTATCTCCCGTCAGCATAGATAACGGGTAGCTTTGGTCACCAAGGCTAAGAAAAATAGGAAGAAATCTCCTAGCGCTTTGTCACTGCTATGATTTGAACCCTAATCTTTAAGGTTCTGACCATTATTGATCACTACGCCATACCCATCTATTTTAGGATATTTATTATTTAGGAAAGGTATAAGAATAGATGTAATATTCTAAAGCAGCCAAGCTATTCACGGAGCTAATTCTGTCTCTTTTTTGGGCTATCCTTTTCCAATGAAAGACCAACGAGTAACACACGAATTCAACAATTAACACCCATTCATTTTGACAGACAACTAAAAGTGTAACCTTTCCAAATGCAAATCACCATCTTTAGCAAGCCTGTGTCCGGCTTCACATCAATAATCAGAAGACGTGGCTTATGAAGAGAGAACTGATAATTCAGCAGAATAGCCGAACTACGCACCAGCTGGTATGGACACCACTGTTATTATAAAAAAAAAAAAACAGAGCGAGGGAGAGAGCTAGTCAGGAAAACGAATACACTATACTACAGTACTCTCTCCGGTCCACTTTAATTGATTTTTTTGTGGTCCACTATATTTGATTTTTTCAAATATCAAAAAAAAAATTAACTTTTTTTTCCCAAAGTTGCCCTTGGAGTAAAAGTCTAAGAGTATTTGTTGTATTTCCAATGAACAAACTTAAGGTTAATATGATCAATTACATTGTTAATTAATGCTAAAAGGTGAATACATTAATATGTGAAAACAGCTAAAAAATCACTTAAAGTGGACCGGAGGGAATAGTAAATTTGAGGCATAGCAACCTAATAGACAGCATAAGTTGAATTTCCTGAAGATACGTCAAACTCTCAAGGCTAGGAAAATTCATTTGAGCCACACAAGTATGATTCTTTGTAGTCTAATATTTCCAACGTTTTAGTGGACTGAATGTTTCAACTATAACCACTAAACATGAGACGTATTAGCTTGGAAACTTGGAAAAAATTTCTGACTAAATGACAATCCATGATTGAATAGTGCCAAGAGCATCATGAAACTGATAAATCATGCTTTAAAGATGCTTTATATAATTTTCCACACCTTATATTGATTGAGATATTTAGGATAAAAACAGAATATATATAGGTAATATTCTCAAGCATCCAATCCATTCACGTTGGCTATCCTTTTCCATTGAAACAACAACGTGTAACACGCGAATTCAACAATTCATTTTTACACATAAATGAGCAGAACCTTTTCAGAAAATCGCAATCTTTAGTAAGCCTATGCTCTGGCTCCACAGCAATAACAAGGGTGATTTCTACTATCTTGACATAAACTCCGAATAGAAAAGGCGTTGGTTAGCTGTGCTGAAGTAAATCATTGTGAAAATGAAATTAATACGTAGCCCTGCTGATAATTTAAGAAAAGGGATACAATAATAGATGAACCACCAAAATAAAATGACAGAGTAGTCAACCCAAGTTTGTGATAGCCTCTTTAATTTTTTTTTCCTTAGTTGATCAGTAGTCTGTGGTAGATTGTTAACAAAGGTTAAGCCTAATTAAGAATGATTTTTTTGGGGTAAGGTAAGGTAATTTTATTAAAATTAGTACCAAGAAAGTACTGAAAAAGTACAATAGGAGGATAACAAGATGATGCATAATGAGATAGTCTTCCAAATCTCCTTCAGTCTTCTTCTGTCCTTGCCAGCATTGAAGCAAGGACGATTCTATTTTCTCCTGCATTTCTCATCGAGTTATGTATTTCAGGAGCATGAGAAGATGCGTGTCTATTTCGGAGAACCAATTTGGATTTATGTCTGAGCGGTCAACTACAGAAGCCATTCACCTCGTGAGGAGATTGGCGGAACAGTATAGGGAGAGGAAAAAGGACTTGCATATGGTGTTCATTGACCTAGAGAAAGCCTACGATAAAGTCCCGAGGGAGGTTTTATGGAGATGTTTGGAAGTTAGCAGTGTTCCGGTAGCGTGCATTAGCGCGATTAAGGACATGTACGATGGTTCTAAGACTAGGTTGAGGATTGCGAGAGGAGACTCGGATTACTTCCCGGTGGAGATGGGTTTGCATCACAGATCAACCCTTAGCCCTTTTTTGTTTGCCCTGGCGATGGATGTGCTAATACGACACATACAAAAGGAGGCGCCATGGTGTATGTTGTTTGCAGATGACATAGTACTGATTAACAAGACGCGATGCGGGGTCAATACTAGGTTGGAGGTTTGGAGACAGACGCTAGAGACTAAAGGTTTCAAGTTGAGTAGGTCGAAAACAAAATACTTGAAGTGTAAGTGCAGTGATGGGACACACGAAGCAGAAGTGGAAGTGAAGATTGATACACAAGTCATCCCCAAGAAAGATAATTTCAAATACCTTGGATTTGTTATACAAGGCAACAAAGAGATTAATGAGGATGTTACTCACTGGATGAAATGGAGGCTTGCATCCGGGATTTTGTATAATAAAAATATGCCACCAAGACTTAAAGGCAAGTTCTACATAGTGGTGGTTAGGCCGACTATGTTATATGGGGCTGAGTGATGGCCCGTCAAGATGTCCGAGGTCTAGAATATAAAAGTAGCTGAAATGAGGATATTGAGATGGTTGTGTGGACATACCAGGAAAGACAAGATTAAGAACTAAGTTATTAGGGACATGGTGGGAGTGACCCATGTGGAGGACAAGTTGCGAGAATCGAGGCTGAGTTGGTTCGGGCATGTGAAGAGGCGAGACATAGCTGCCCCGGTTAAGAAGTGCGAGAGGTTGACCATGGCGGGTCTGAGGAAGGGTAGAGGCAGGCCTAAGAAGTATTGGGGTGAGGTGATTAGGCAGGACATGTCACTGCTTCAGCTTACCGAGGACATGACCCTTGATAAGAAGACGTGGAGGACGAGTATTAGGGTTGAAGGTTGACAGATAGTCGCGAGTCTATCCTAGGCTTGTCAGTAAAACTAATCCTATTGTTGTATTTGCTTATTCCTGGTTATTAGTACATGTTGTGTTATTCGCTTCCATTACCTTATTACCTTGTTGTTGCTATTGTTTGTTGATTTAGTTCATTGTTCCTTGAGCCGAGGGTCTGCCGAAACAACCTCTCTATCTTCATAAGGTAGGGGTAAAGTCTGCGTACACCCTACCCTCCTCAGACCCCACTTGTGGGATTGCATTGGATTTGTTGTTATTATGTATTTCAGACGAGTTCAATGAACATTATAATCATATTTTACTCATGTCTTCACAATATATTTTTGTTTATTGTTCTTCACAAAATATGCATATATATCATCTCTGACAATCATCCTATGTTATCCAAATAACCAACTGAAAATGGAGTAAGTAAATGAAGATATCACAATTGAATATAATTATAGATACACACTGGGAAAATGGACTGAACAAGATTGTAACTTTCATGCGGATAGAGAGATCTAAAAGAGTATTTACTCATGGAGTCATGGTTAAACTAAACTAAACTGAGTCATCCAAACCTCTCAAATAATAGTAGAATACTGAATATTACCTTACACAATGAAATGCAGCAATTTTTACATTGTTTTTCTTCTTCTGATAGGTAAGTTTTTCACATTGTTAATGCTATAGTGTTCTACACTTTGGAGATGATTGAACATGGACATGATTACAGCTGAAAGACCATAGGCAGCAGGAAAATTGTAAGAAAATGTTCGAAACAACTCTGATACCTCTAGTATAATGTTGTTTTGATGTATAATCTGGTGCCTTCTTCTAGCACAAGTTGGTACTTCTGTATTTTTGGTGCAAATTCTGCTCCATCATCACCATAAGTTACACAAGAACATAGCTAAAGAAACCTTTCATGTCTCATTGACACGACTGCATCTATAAAGTTTCTCATTGAACAGCACCTGAGGATCCTTATTTAGCAAAACCCCGTCTTCCCCATATGCATCCTTTAGAAAGACACACCAATTCATTTCCGTACCAGCCAAGTAAAACGTCCCCGGCTGTTTCAAGAGCATCTGATAAGTATGCTTTGTAAGACAAAACTCATCCTTGAACTCCACAAGGTTATGTATATAGGCTCTCTTCTCCAACGTCAAGCTCAAGAACTCATGAATCAATCCAACCCTAAACTTCTCTGCCTCCACAGTCCACAAATCCAACTCGCTTCCATTAGAATAGGGCGAAACCAATGGCAACGTATACAACAAATTCAACTTCCTCTCATCACCTTCATCCAAATCCAATGCCTTGCCATGTTTAATCGGAAACTTAAACGCCCTCTTCACCTTATCCTCGTCAACCATATACTCCTTCTCCAACGCGCTCACCGCCAATGTAGGATCCCAATTCACAAGCTCAACTACCCTTTTCCCATCTTCCTCAACAACCACCTTAAAATAATCCTCGTACTTCCCTATCCTATCCCTAAAATCTTCAGGTATACCAAATAAAAGTCTATTATGATAAATTTTACTCAAATGAATTCTCTTGTCTTTCGACATCATTAATAATTTCCTAACAACACTAACTCTATCATTTTCCATTTGATTCATTATACAAGATTCTTCTTCCAACAATTGTTCCATAAAATCAGTGAAACCAAACCACATCTTACCATCAGTATGTCGATAAATTTCGAAGATTGAAGGGTGGCGTTGGAGGGAACGGACAATCTTGCGGCCACGTGGGAACCCCAGCTGCTGGTGAAGTTTTCCAGCATCGTCAAGGCGAAGGACATGATGGGGTTGTTTGGACAGGAATTCTTTGGTTTTAGTGAGGAATCTGAAATGGGTATCGCGTACGAGGATGTTTTCGAAGTAGGGGATGATGTTTGGTTGAGTTTGGACCAGTGTGGTACGTGGTGATTCTTTTTTCTTGCGTTTCTTCCGGAACTTTTTGGGGATTTTAGTGACGAGGAAAGAGGTGGAAAGTTGTCTGAATTGAGAGAAAGTGGAGTTTGAGGTTTTGGAAATGGAAGAAGTGGTGGTGGTGGATATGGTCCAAAGAAGACGCCAAATTGACATTTGTGTTTTGTTTACAGTTTCTGATTTTTTCTGATGTTGGAGTGAAGGGTTTAAGGAATGATAGACAAGGGTTTTGGATTTAGGATTCTATTTGCAGAAATAACCAGAGGAAGGGGAAAAGAATAAGAAAAAAAAAGCAACGACAAAGAGATTTATTAAAAGCAACCAGAGGAAGGGGAAAAGAATAAGAAAATAAAGCAACGACAAAGAGATAAAAGATTAAAAAAGTATAGTCCGACCTGCCGGATTCGAACCAGCGACCTAAGGATTACTATGAAAGCACACTACAGTCCTCCGCTCTACCAACTGAGCTAAGGTCGGAATATGAGATGTAAGGCCGGAGAAATAATTTAAAAGACTCATACATATTTATTTTTCCTAATTATAATTCTTTTATAGTTATAATAGTATTTATATAATAAAATTTGAGTTATATACTTGTGATTTTTAATATATATATANCATTAATGGACCAAATATTAGATCTACTTTATGTTGTCTTATTCTTGTTTCATTGTTTGGTAGTAATCAATTACATCCGTAAAAATCGAAAATAACCACAAAATATCGAATCAATATGATCGGAACTGGCAAAATTTATACTATGTTAGTTTGGTTTGATTTAAATATTTTAAAAAATAATTTAATTGGTATAATTTCCCTTTAAGCAAAACCCACTTAAATTGTACCACAAACACGCCTACTTCTGACAATGCATGTTTGTGCATATTACGATAATTAGTTTTGGGATGCGCGTTGCGCGTGCATTTTATCTCAATGAGTATAAAATTTTAAAACTCACACAAATTTATTAAATTGTGTGATTTATTTATCATATAAGTTTTTTTAAAAGCACAAGCTATTGAAAATGATTAATATTGATCTTATTTAGCCAACTTAAAAAAATAAAAAAATATGTAACATGACAAAGTATTCTAATGCATCATCATAACTTTGATATGAGTTATGTGTTTGCTTTAGTAGCTCGAACAATGTTGAACAATATGTTGGCTTATACTTAAATATTATACAACAATCCTATAGCCTTAAAAAATAAATTTTATTTGCTCAGGTACCTAATATAAATTTCATAGAATTCGTATTAGAACTCATAAAAAAAATAAAAAAAGTAAGCACGAATGTCAATCACTTGCTCATACTCATAATTAATAAGCGTTAGTACAAATCACCTTACATTAAAGGAAATAGTGTAATAAAGTAAATAATTTTTTGTTGATTTTGAAGTCATAAATATTACATAAATAAACAATGACTCAATTATTTCTATTTTTTATCATACTTGAATATTCAATTTTATTTAGCTTTTGATTAGTCTGTAAACAACACTCGTGGTACTCAATTACTCATGACTCCCACAAGTCATTTATAATCTAAAAATATAGTTTAATCACTTATACATACTATTCGTATCATTAACAATTCTAATCTCCATGTAATAATTATATTATTCCAAAATATCCATGTATTTTTTGTTTTGTTTTTGTGAAAATAAAACACCTGACTTTTAAACAATAATCCAGTTTAGTTTTGCTAATTCGTTGAGTTTTCTAATTTTATTACTCCATTAAGATAGTTTTATCATTGTTCTAATTATTGAATTTATATTTGATTTATTATACAAATTGATGAATGAAAAAATATTATTTTAATAGGAAAGTAATTCAGATTTAACATAAAAATAGGTTATAGTTCGTATACATAGGTCAAAAGTAAAATAGAAGGAATTAAATACATAAGTGTCGCAATATATTTCTCATAATCTGATAGAACAAATGTGATTCAGAAAGATTTTTAAACCTCAAAATAAATGATAGAACAATTACGGATAAAATAAGTTTTATCGCTACTATATTACCCAAATTCTACAGAATAATCTCTTAGCAAATTATGCCATATTTTATTAATGTCATAATTTTTCTTGGTTTTGTCACGACCCAATTTCACATATAGGTCGTGATGACGCCCAACATTACAACTAGGCAAGCCAACTAATAAATTAAACGTATATCAATCATTCTTTAAAAAATTTTCAAGTAATTCTATTCTTTTTCCTAGCAATATTAATGAAAATAGAAAAGATACTGATAATGTAAATCCAAGAAAATAAATACAAATTCAAATTCTACCAGTGTGTGTGCCAAGACCTGGTGTCACAAGTGTATGAGCATCTAGTAGATTATACAAATATACCAAATACTGTTTGAAATAAAATAGATAGAATGAAAATTCAGGAAGAGGCAATAGTTGTTGCAGAATGGCTCAAAAGGGCATCTCACCACTAAGTCTCTGGATATCGTGGGTGTGCGCCGATAGGTCCAACTATAGCACCTGTCTCAGATCATGCACAAAAAGTGCAGTAAGTGTAGCATGAGTACGTAAACAACGTGTACCCAGTAAGTATCAAGCCTAATCTCGAAGAGATAGAGACGAGATGACCGACTTTGACACTTACTAAGGGTCAATAATAATAATTATAATAGTATTAGAATATCTAAATCAACATGATTCACAGAG